AAAGCCATTGTTCTAATAATATTTTGCCATTTTTGCAACAGGTGATCAATAGAATCTTGATAAAGAATAGCTTCTATAAGATTGCATCGCTCTATTTGAAGGTAAAAAGCTTTCATATTTTCCTTGTTTATATTGCTATTGCATGATTCTAATGAAAAATTAATTCTTCCCATAATTAAATCATCAGCAAAAAGATTTTTAAAAATATGTCGTGAAAGTGGTGATAATTGTGACAAACGAATACTATGTTTTTCATATATATAATGAGGGTTTTCATTATTAATTGGGCATTTTTTATCTCTACGATAATCCCTAATTTTGAATTTGTTTTAAGTAATAATTCTTTGAGATATACAATTATTAATATGTCATACCTTCGTGTCAAAGTGTTAATACCAATTCCGGTTCCACCAGCTTCCCCATAATTGATACTTTTTAATTCTGATGAAACTAATACAGTCACTTGATATTTGTTTAAGGAGTGTCTATAAGATTTAAGTGTTTGTGTAGAAGAATCTCCATCAAGCTAACGAATTGTACCAAAGAGTTTCTCAAGTATATCTTGTGAAATGCACCTTGGTTAAATAACTAAGCCCGGGTACTTTCTTAAAAAAAATGTTAGCATTTCAAGAAAACCATCAATAGACAAAATTAGATCAAATTGATATTGGGATAAGATCCATTGTGTTGGTTTAGTTTTTTGCTTATCGCCACGTACAAACCAATCATGAATCTCTCTCAAGGTATTAATACATGGATCCTCTATTGAATGGAACCCAATTTTACTATGCATTATTTGGCAATAATTTCGTGAATATTTAATAAAGTCCTTTGAAATTTTTTTTAGTTTTTTTTTAATTAAAAATGTCTACATTTTCTAATATAATGATTACTTACTTGTGTTCTCTCTGATATTTCTTTAAGTTCTTCAATTGATGCTAATGCATTTTCAACTTTTTTTGATAGTATATGCTCTGCAAGATCAACTCATATCTTACTCTATGAGGTAAGCCAAATATAACATTTAGTAAGTTTTGTTGCTTTTGCTGTTGCATGTCGACATGTATGTTCATATACACCTTGTATATGTTTCCAGCTAATTTCCTTTCTATTGAATGTTATTTCACGGCTATTTTTTCTATTGTTTCCAGCTACATGACTTTTAGATAAGTTATTTCTAAGTTTTTTAAAAACATGCGTTGGATCACTAATAAAAAACCACTTCTCTCCAGTAATAGGATTTATTGTTTTATGGCATGTAGAGAGTTCTTGTGCATCATAAAAGGCCGAAGAAGCATGATAGCTTCTTTTTTAGTAATCTTCCACATAAATATTCCTTTGACAACACCTGAGATTTCTACTTGCAATGTTTGTGTACCTGAATCAGTGTTGGTAATTATTCCTGGATACCATTGGTTGTTCTGTGGATTTTTAAATTCACACATTTCATTAAAATTTCACTTTGATTTTTTAGTTATCGGAGGACGAATAAATGCTCGATCAACTGTAATTGTTTTTAAACTACCACAATCAAGATAATGCACAGAAAATTGTGTTCGATCATGATTAAAATTTACAATTTCAGCAGAATAAAATTTTTTATTAAAATCAACTTCTACGATATCACCTAATGACCAGGTTGAGGCATACCAATTAAAACTTTTAATATGAGTTCTGTTTTATCCAGCACCATCACAAATTGAGCCATAGGTATGTATGCCGAGGCATTCTAATTTTGCCGCCAAACTAAAAATTAATGTATTCAAATTGTGTGCTGTTATTGTATTAATACCATAATAGGATATTGGAAAAGAAAAATTATGCATTGCTAAATGCCAAACAACTTGATAAACTTGAGTTGCAAGTTCACATTTAGGTTCTTCGAATATAGAATTAGATAAGAAATTACTTTTTGTTGATAATTCGATTTCTTGTTGACACTGTATTGCAAATATTTGATAATCTTGCATTTCATCTTCAAAATCTAGATAACCAACATAACAATTTTCATGCTGACTCCAAAGAAGACCTATTTAAAATCAAATACTTAATAATTTATATATGTATTTAAAATATATGTAAACTTATTACCTTTTTGAATTTTAAAAGAATCATGAGAGAAAAATCCTACTCGTCCATATTTCCAAATTTTATTTGCTGTCAAGCTAGCTAATATTTGTTGGGCAATTTTGTCTTGCCATTCTGATTTTTGTTCATATTCATTAATATAACTTTTAAGTGTAGAAATTGATAGCAATCGCATAATAGTTTTTATTGCATTATATGCTGTCTGTCCAGATTTGCTATATACAGATATTGCCCAACGTAAAAATCTAAAAAATAAAATGTTAATTTTCATAATTATATAATTGTTAATATCATTAAACTCTTACATCGGATGATATCTTGTTCCATTTGGTTTTGTACATTGAATTCGAATAAGTTCTTGAAAAATAGGATGAAGGTCTGCAATATTTGTAGTTTTATTTGTTACACTTTTGGTAACTGTATGAACAATATTTGCAATTTCATTTGACACCTTCTCTTCTTCTTTTTCAATTTTTTTTTGTAATTGATCTTTTAAATTGATAATTGTTTTAGTTTGTTTTTTAATAGTTTTTCGCTATTGATTAACTTTTTCTTAAAGAATCTTC